TCTCAGATTGGAAGGGCACGGGAACGGGGTTGGAGGACAGTGATATACGAATGCCGTGTCCGCACTCCGCCCACGCTGCCGCACGGCCAGCCACACGCCTAACTATAGCCAGAACGTGCTGCTCGTCTGCGCATCTCACTTCTGGTTGTTCTCTACCGCTAGCTGCGCACTTCGCTGCGGAACGTTGGTGTCGATGCAAGTGCTGACCGCGAGGATAGCGTGGGTGGAATATGGATTCCGTAGCATTACCCTACAGCCCCGCTGCAATTTGGAATGGCACGCCACTGCAGCTGCGGATTCGTTCGCCCCATGATGAGGTACATCTTCGGGAGAACAGTACATTTTATCTTCAAAGAATAGAAGTTCTAAACTTGGTCAGCTGCCCTTTCAGAGTCCAAGCACTTCGTCACTGAGGACAGGGCACGCCATCGCGTTGTAATCATTTCCTGAAAAATACGACCCCCCTAATTCCATCCTCAAATACGACCCCCCCCTCCCCATGCTACCTACCACTTTCCTAGATTTTCCCAACTTCCTACCACTTTTTCCATTTTTTTTCCGAAAAATTTCCAGTTTTTCAGCCAAGACCAAGAATTTTCCGTCTTTCTGAAATTTCCTTGAAAAGTTCTGGTTTTTGCTGTCAAGCGGGGAGGGGGGGAGGTCGTCAGGATTTAACTATCATTTTCAACTATCGGAAATAGTAGTTGTATAGATCTTTGGCAGTCCCTCTCTCAACAACGACCAAATACGACCCCCTCCCTCGCGGTCAAATACGACCCTCCTCCCCCCCTTTGTGCCCATCACAACATGGCGTGCCCTGACATTGAGGATCCCTAATGGGAAGTCGTGAAGGGAAAGAGGTCGTCTTTCCGCTTCACGTGCTCGGCCGCGACCAATACAGTCTAAGTGCATGCTACAACTCTGAGACGGCGGAACGGATTACTTGCTCAAAGAATGGGCTTCCACTAGGATAAGCACTACTTTGTCTTTAAAAGCTTATTTCCCACCTTTCAAATGGTAGGTAGCATGAGTTCAAATTCGATTTGTAAGTGTTTTTGGCTTATTATCTCAAAGAGAAGTGGAAGAAACGGTCATGAACCTCCTTAGTGAGGCTCTCCTTTCTAAAGCCAACTTTTTTCCTGAATGGACAAGCACTGATGAAGCGAGAGGCAGCAGTACAATGAAGGCGCTGAATAGAGACAACATAATCGATGGCAAGAAGGCACACGACTGATCATTCTCTTCGATCGCATTATTTTTTCCCTGCATGACATTTCGTGACCGTTGTGAACTTTCATATTCCCTCTATTCACACATGCTAAGAAGCTCATCCATTGCTGAATCCCCTCCCACTGAAAAAGCTTATCCCCTGGCTCGCTACATGTTGTTTGCTCCTTTGCAGCCGCAGTTCTTTATTTCTCTGCGCTCTGGCCTTTCATGGCAGAACCTTCACGAGAAGTTTAAAAGTCACGCAAGTTACACGACAATCTGGTGACTGCGCGGCAGCGCGGGGTTCTCTGTATACGATACCCGGGCATCATTGCCCTCCAGCCCCATTCCTGTACTCCTTTGAGCGGAGAAAGTGACACACAGCTACGGATTCATTCACCTCACATATGGTAAGGGCCACTCTCGGAGATGAATGTACAATTTGTCTTTCGGTCGTTGACGAGAGGGGCATGAAAGGCTAACAAAGAGAGGTCGGCACTGTTGCCAAAGGTAGAAGGCATTTTTGTGGTAGGAGGGAAGCGAGATGTTTATCTCTCACGATATAGTAGAAGTCCCTTGGTGGTGAAGTCTGTCTGCTCCTCCACGCGGTGCCACTGGGAGCTCGTGCGAGCTGCAAAACGCAGACAACCGACAGCAGGTGACAGGCCTTCGTGACGAGCCGGCTTACGAGAACACCCAAGACACATCCCAATGTTCAATATGCCATGTGAATTCCGAATCAATCCTATGGCGTCCGCGGGAGCCGACGCTCACTGCACGTGCAAGATTGCCTGACAAAATTCGGAGTGAAGTTGAACATCAAGAAAACCGAGTACTTGACGACCGATACAAATGAGTCCGATTCCATTAGGATCAGTGGCATCGAGCTCACACGCACAAGAGCCTTCAAGTATCTTGGATCAGAAATTGTGTCCGATGGCAGTCTGACCTCAGAGGTGAACTCTGTGAGTGCAGCATGGGCGAAATGGCGCTCGATGACTGGAGTTCTGTGTGACAAGACCATACCGGAGCACCTCAAATCGAAGATTTATAGAACTGTGGTCAGACCAGTAGCGTACGGAGCTGAGGCGCTGCCTGCAACCACAGGAAGTTGACAGGCCGGCCTTCAAGTGTGATGGAGATGAAAATGCTACGTTGGAAGGCCGGTGTCACTCTTATGGATCGGATTTGCAACGATGACATACGCAAGAAGTTTGGCGTAGCTTCCATAGTTGATAAAATGCGAGAATCTCGTCTTCGATGGTATGGCCACGTACTTTATCTTCGCGCGAAAAGGCGGGACACCGTCAAACGGTCTCCAGCTCGAGGTGCTCGGCAAACGACCTAGAGGACGCCCCAGGCAACGTTGGCTTGACAAGCTGCACGCGATTTGATGATAGTTGGCGCTCACCCTGATCAGGCATTCGACCGGAATAAATGGCGTAACAAAATCAGGAGAGCGGACCCCGCTACAGAGCGGGACAAACGCTGAAGAATAAGAAGAAGAAGGAAGATATAGTAGAATTCCCCTGGACCAACGATTTCCCTGAGATTATCGGAGGAAACGAAGCTGGACATTCAGGTTGGAGAGTGTCGAACCGGTGGACAGAAGTGCTGAAGGAAGTCGGTTGTTGTTCCGGAGACAGAGAGGGGGTCGATTCAGCAAAAATTCTCCTCAACGCCATAACATCCCCCGATTAGCAGTGCTGAATGACCAATTTTCCACATCGCTACGACGAGGTGGGAAGGTAAGAAAGCTCAAACATTCCAGTCTGTATAGTCGTTATCACTGAAGTTAGTCGGGGCGTGTCGGAGGGTGCAGATTTTGGTAAGCAAGGCAGTCCGTTTCTCATTGACCGTTGCGGCCCTTAGACGCTCAATGAGTTATGGAGAAAAGGCACTGGCACCGCGCCAAAACCCACGCCTCGCACCCCGACTGACTCGAACGACTGCATGTTGATGTTTTCATGATACATCGACAGGATACAAGTCATTTATAAGCTTTATTCAATTCCATGCCAAATAATATCACTTTTAATGCAATTAGCGTCATCATTATAGAAAACTGATTGACGAAAATGAAAAACAAACACAAAATGATCCCGTCTATTGACAACATCAACAACGTATAACGAGCTGTATGTGTCTATTCGACTAGTTGGAAGTTTCAGGTCATGAGAACTTCAGAATTCTATTGAAAGGCACTGCTAACGAATATGAAACCCGTACTGATGTGTGCATCATTTCGACCCAACTACTCCTGTCCCTACTCAGGTGCCACTTTGTTATTTCTACTCGGCAGTCCTACCGATGGTCCTACGGATCTATTGTCTTCTTCACTGTCCATACTGATATCGTCCGGAGGTGTTAGAGTCCGTGCTAGCGGCGATCGAACGAATTTCCCGATAGGATTGGGTCTGAAAGTCCAATTCGGAAGTAACGAAAAATGACAAAGGAAGGAACTGTAAAAGACTGGTCAAAAGGAAACAATACAATAAACCTTCCAGGACGATCCTTCCATGTGTGAGGTGAAAGGCTTAGCGTGCCACTTTCTCCGATCAAAGGTGCACGGGAATAGAGCCGGAGGGAAGCGCTACCCAGTGGCCGTCTCCCTACTCCGCCCGCTATCCTCAAGGTGTTGCCTGCGTCGATGCCAGGGTCCCATAGCGAAACACGCACTCAGCAGTAGAGAACAACCGGAAGTGAGAGGGCGCAGAAAGCAGCGCGTCTGGTTGTGGTTAGGCGTGTGGCTGGCGCTGCGGCGCAAGCGAAGTATGGAGACGGCGTTCGGGCATCACTACCCTCCAGCCTCGCACATTTGACCGGTGGAAGTGGCACGTCATTGCATCTGGACCCATTAACCTCACAGAACCAGGATCGCCGCCAGGACCAGGATCCACGAAGGTGAATACAGTTCGTCTCCAACACGGTACCCCGGTATAAGTCTGTGCTGGCGGAGACTCGTAACCAGTTGTGTAGTCCACCTTATTGGCGCGACCATGCTTCTTTACCAACTCAGAACCAGTGCGCCTAAAGCTGAGAAAATACACAAGGTTCGAAGCTGTACCACTTTACCCACTTAGTCACCGTGGAATGCGTCCGCCTGATGATCCAGGAAGATCTATGGAGGGCAGGCCTAAATACTCAGGAATAGTTCAGCCTTGTGGTTGTCCGCCGTTGCCGGATTGGCCCTCACCAGGGACTTCGGAGACGACACCACAAATCTTTATTGCTTTTCTTTTCCGGGTTTCACTCCTTTCATCTCCTAATGAACTTTTTGTTCATTTTAGAAGATCCCGGGACTCCGGGATGGGATAGGAGCTCCGTGGCAGAGAGATTGGTCGCCCATGCGGGATTTGACCCTCGGATTGCAGGTGTGGTAAGACTGCCACACTACCCCACCCCCGACCCAACAGGGCCTTACACTCACAATATCTAGTAAAAGTGTAGAATATAGCATATATAGCGTACCTTAACGGAGTGACGGTCATGGCAATAGCACTTGAGGTAACCGGCCGATTTTCGCGATCACGCGGTTCAGAACCAGGATTGATGGTCGACGACCGTGACATCTGCGAACTCCTTCCGTAATCTACAGACTCGGCCCGCTGTGGAGGAGTCGTTCTTGAGCTCTTGCTAGACGACCCTGGTCGGTCGGGAGCAGACGATACACTGGAGCGTCGGAGGCTCGTTGAACTGAAAGTGGTTACCATTAGGTGTATGTCTGAAATGGAAAAGTCACTTTGTATTACCTGAGTGAAGAGTGCTTCGATTGTGGTGCTTCTACCTGTGCTTCGATGTCCACCTCATGGGGAACCTCGTGCGGAAGTGGTCGAATACCGTTTGCTCGAGGACTGATCGCAGCGGCCACCTCCGCAACACTTCCTGACGTTCTCCGTCGATGCACAGCACCATTCCCTGTGAGGGGAACTGGAATGGCAACTTTTTTATACACTTCGCGGCCACAGTCTTTCGAGCGCCTGAAAAGGTTTAAATGTACCTCCGTTGGCTCCGCTAAGCCTTGTGTCGGCGGTTGTGGTAAAACCTTGCTCCTCAGTGAGCCGTTTCTGCCTTGCTTGCTCCATACGCTTTGAACGACTCTTCGTTTTAGCCATCATTTTCCACTTCGTGATTGCTTTCGTCACCGTTTGGAATGTTCTGGAAGAAACATTCTTGTAAAAAGTATCTCACTGGCACCGTTACTTGAAAGATAATAGACATTTTCAGAGGGAAAAGGGAATAAATCTAGTTCGGAGGGGAATAAGTCTATTTCGGAGGCTGAGCGTCAGTACAAGAGGATCATCCTGTTAGCAAAAGAGGTGCTATGTTGCCATCCTACAGGCAAAATGAGCACGATCGTGCCATCCTAGTCACGAAATGGGCATGGTCATACTAGTACTAGCAAATGGGAGTGCATATGTCATTTCATCGGCAGAAAGGGCATTATATGCGTCCCTGAGCCACCCTTCCGGCAAAATGGACGCTGCCATGCCATTGTAGTAGCAAAAGGAAGCAAAATGGCCATCCCATCTTACTCTTGGCGGAACTCTCTCCCGTCTTTCCAGCGAAATGGTCGGGACTCTGTTATCCTACTAAACACAGTGGAAGCGTGACTTCCATTTTGAGTGGGACGTAACTTCCATTTTAATAAACAAAGGGGCGTGATCGTAAGGTTCTAGCAACAAAATGGGCGTGGCTATCCACTGTACGGGCAAAATGGACTCGGTCACGCCATTCAGCAAATGAAAAAGGGAATCATTCTGTCTTTCCCTTAGCAGAACTCTCTCCCATATTCCAGCGAAATGAGCGAGACTGTGTCATCTTATTAGCGAGCAGGGCGTGATTATCCCATCTCAGTAAAGAGAGGCGTGCTTACGCTACCCTACCAGCAAAAGGGCATGACCAGAACATTCTACCAGCAGAATGGGCGTGGGTACTCCACTATACCGTGATGGACGCGGTCATGCCATTCTACTCGTAAACAGAACCGCCCTATCAGCAAAAGAGGTGGAGCCATGCAAAAAAGCGTAGCTATGACATCCTACTAGGAGACTAGACACCGGAGGCAAGCTATGCCCATATCTAA